CAGAAACAGGCCTGTGTGGGCACAACCATCAACAGCCTTCTGGGATGAGGAGCGGCAGGCTGACGGGGCTGGGTCCCAGTTCTATGGCTGCTGTCTCGTCCAAAAATCTGGTGTGACATCTCCACCTGAGGGCCATGGTGCTAACCAAGGTATCAGTGCCGGAGCGCCTAGAGCCAGCGTGTCCCGGCACAGGCTGGGAGCAGGTGGTGTGAGGAGCGCAGGCACGCCAGCATCCATGGGCTCCATCCACAGAGGCTGGCCCTGGACTCGTCTGAGGCCCCTCAGCTTGGGGCCTTGCTCTGTCTTGACCCCTCAGCAAACCTCTGAGACCACGATGGGCTAGATCTCACACCCTCTTCCCACAGGGACCTTCCTGTGACCTCGGGCCACTCATTCCTGCTTAGGAAGACTTGGGCGTCAGGGGAAGCAGGGTTCCTCAGGAGGAAGGGAGTGGACAGTTGCAGACCAAGGGAAGAAAAACTCCAGTTCCTGCTGAGCACTGAGCTGAAGTGCAGTTCATATCCAAGCGGCCCTGCGACCACAGGACACCTGCTGGCCCGGCTGCCAGCTGCTTCCCCGCGGGAGTCCGGGCCGCCCACAACAAGGGGACTGGACTGTGTCTGAAGCACACGTCCTCAAGGAGGCCTGAGGCTGTCTCGTAATTCAAATACATCTTGAAAGAACAGTGTCCAATACCCATAAATCTTGTTATTCTAAGACACTGTTGAATCTGCATAAAATTTTCATGACAAGTGTTTCTTCTAAAATTCTTCAAGCTTCTTTGAAATATTAGCCTGTTAAATATTTTTTAAAAAACCTCTATAGACTGCCAAGGAATTCTTGTAGCTGTTTCGATGAAAGTGGCCCGCAGAGCGGAAGCCCTGGTGCATGCCGGTGGGAGTGAGGCTGGCGCAGGCACTGAGAATACTGTGGATTCCTCACAAACTAAAGATGGAACCGCCATGTGGCACAGTGACCCCAGAAACCTAAACCACCGCTCAGAAAGGATGTGTGCCCCCTATGTTCACAACAGCACAACGTACAATAGCTGAGATCTGGAAACAGCACGAGTGCCCATCAGCAGAGGAGTGGATGAGGCTGTGGGACACCCACACCATGGAGCACTGCACAGCAGTGAGAAAGAAGGGTCTGTCGCCCTGTGAGACAGCATGGAGGGGCCTGGAGAGTTTCACTCTCCAGTGAATGAAGCCAGTCAGAGAAAGACAAGTATCACCTGACCTCACTCACATGTGGAATCTAAAGAACAAAATAAACTGAACCAGAAAGAACTTACATGCATATATGCATAACCGAAAGACACAGACAACAGTGTGGTGAAGGCATAGGATGGGGCAAGGGGTAGGAGGAGGGGGACTGCAGGGAGGGGGAGGGAATGGGGAACACCTGTAATACTGTCAAAAATTAAAAATTAAAAAGTGACCCACGAGGAACAGACTGTCCTCATCACCCTAGCCGTCACTGCTGGACACTGGGAGCCCACCACTGTGTTCATAACCAGTGACCACTCCTCACCTCAACATTCTTATGAACCCTCTTCAAAAGGACAAATCAGTGAGAAAACCATGACTGTTCCCTGCAGGCGACACTCGACATTGCTGCCTGCCACCAGGACACCACCCCGAGTGCTGCTCACAAACTCCACGTGCAGCCAGTGGGAACACAGCTAGCTCACACCTGTGCTGTCATGCTACACCTGCAGGCGAGCACGGTACACATCTCCCTCTGACATGTTAAGGGCTACGGTCTTCCCCTGGCTTTAAAACCCGTCCGTACCCAATGTATTCACTAAGGGGAACCTGACAAGCTGCCTTCAGAAGAAAAGCCCGGAGTCCTCACTCAGTGTCAGGGGGCAAGGGCACAGGAACCACCCAAATGGCAGGACAGACACACTGAAAGCTCCAGCGGGCTCGTGTTCCCCAGAGCAGCCGCCGTGGCTAACCAAGGCAGGCACACCGGCAGAAACTGCCGCGGCAAACACTTAGGCTCCTGAGCCCCTCATTCCAAACACCACATTTCATGGGCCCAGTTTGGAATGAAAATAAAAAAATACAACTAACTTAGAAATCAACAAAATGGAGACTCTTTTGTAAGTCAAACCCAAAAGCAATTTTTAAAATTCATATTTGTGAGCAAAAGGCTGCAGATACTCGGCAGAAGCGCAACGAAGGAAGGAAGGAAGGAGTTGAAGTTAGGTATTGGTTAATAGAGAGGCCTGAGAAATGCAGATATCGCTTGGAGAGGGACCACAGAAAACACGAGAGGAGCACCTGAAACCCTCCAGAGGACAAGCATAAAGCACTCAGAAACCCATCCGGGTCCCCAGCAGGACACAGTCAGGTTGAAACAGAACTTACTAAACTGATGGCACAGAAAACCTGCACAAACCCGTCCTAACAGGCCATTTTTAAAGACATCGGTAAGTAGACCAGGTGCCGAGGCTTCCGAGGCACGCTCACACCCGGCCCGGCCCTGCCCTCCCGACACGGGAGGTCCTGAGTGAACTCCACGAGAAGCGAGCAGGGCAAGGCAGATTCCTTTTCCAACAGAAAGCCAAGAGCATACCCCCAACAGCAACTGCTGCCATCAGCCTCCTGGGGAGCAGGGGAGGTGCCCAGCACTGGTACTACTGACCAGGTAAAACTCGGGGGACGTGGGATAGCATGCGCCTTTCCAGCTATAAAACCTCCCCCTGGTGACATCGACGCGCAGACTGTTTCCAGCCGGAGCTGCACCCACACCGTCCGAGGTCCCAGCATGTTCCCAAATGGGGAACCACCACCACAGAGCCCTTCTTCCCGTCTCCCCGCGCCCTCAGGACCGAGCATTGAGGTTTCAGAGATGAGACACCAAATGGCTCATCCCTGAAACCCCAATCCTGAAACATAAAACCCTGAGGTTCAAGCGTTTCCTGAGTTTCTCACAACAGAGAAACCACTATCCTTCCAGCATAAGCGAGAAGCCAGCCTTCTGGGGAGGCACTCAGTAGTGACACCAGGCACTGCAGCCCTTTCCGAGGGAGCAGCACACACCTCCGTGTGCAAGGGGCGTGGCTGAGACCATGCACTCCTGCAGCTCGGATGCCCGGAGTCCTCACACTGAACTTTGAGAGGCTGTAGCTCCTAGTGTCTAAAGTACTTCACCTGGTCTCCGTAACAAGACACACACATTCTCACTGAGTGAGTGTCTAAAGGGGAAACCCTATCAACTCCTACCCCAACAGCTTCCTTCCTGCTTATTCCCAAAGCACAGCCAAGTGGGGTGGCTTCCATCCGGTCCAAGTCTTACTTAACACCCCTCTAGCTGGGGCCCTAGTGTAGGAAACGGGCTTCTGTGATCCCTATCTCCAGCACAGCAGCCAACTTGTAGCTGTTTGAAGCGGGTGCATTTCCTCAGGGCAAACAGAAGTAGGAGGGAAGAGGGTGCAAGAACAAAAACCTGTGGCCATGAGCCAGCATCATGGTGGGGACCCCCCCCTCCCCACTGCAACTAGACAGGTTAGGTTGAGGCAACTAAAAAGGCCTCAGCCTTATTTTTTTAAATGGCCCAATGGCTCTAGCCAGTTTGACTCAGTGAATCGAGTATCAGCTTGCAGACTGAAGGGTCCCAGGTTCAACTCCAGCCAAGGGCACATACCTGGGATGCAACCTCAATCTCCAGTAGGAGGCAGCTGACCAATGATTCTCAGTCATCATTGATGTTTCTCTCTCCCTTCCTCTCTGAAATAAAAAATATATTTAAAAATAAATAAAAATAATGGCCCAGGTCATTGACCTAGGCAACGGCTATTAACCAGGGCACTCAGCCAACAAGGACCCGGAGAAGGGACCCTCGCACCCCAGGGATAAACGGGCTGTGATCCCGCCCCGGGTGAGCCTGCACAACCGGATGGACACGCTCCCGAGAACCTATTCCAGGTCTCGTTTTCGCCATACTTCTGTCTCAATCCATGATTTAAATTCAGACAGGTGAGCATTCTCACACTGGTACGGCGATCGGGACAGATTTTACAGACTGAAAAACAAAAGCAGCACCTTTGGACACATTGCATCACTCCGTGTCGTTACCAGGCAGTCTTGATGGAGCTGGCGTCAGACCTAACCCAGTAGGCGTGTCACCATATTAAAATGTTCAATAAGTTGCTAATCATTATTTAACATAAACAGGAAATCTGCACACACTGTCCAAAAAGCCTGAAGAAAACGAGCAGAGGTTTGGTGCTGGTGGCACCCACCTCAGTGCACAGGACGGACAGTCAGGAAGCGACAGAGCCCCAGGCACAGAATCACACAGACACAGGAGGCTGCAGCCCCACTGGGAAAGAATGCACCAAACACATCGCATTTCTTTTCTTTTTTTTTTTTTTAAGCAAATAACAAAGACCCATTTTACCAGCTTTACTTTTTAAACCTAAGCTTAACATTACACATTTAAACAATTGTCAAAACTTACTAAGTTGCCAGCATTCATGCACAACTAGAAAACATCCTCAATTTATACTAAACCAGAAATGTATTACCATTGATGCATTAGTACCTTTCACTACTCAACACGGAAAGACTGAAACTACTCTGGGGCGCTTCCTGGCAACGTGAGCTTCACAGCAGGCCACCCTGCTTGGCTCAGTTTAACCACAATGGAAAGCAGGTCCGTGCTGGTGTTAGTGTATGAAGTCACGGCCGCCCTGGATCACGTTTAATAAAAAGCAAAGTGCATACAGAGATTTACAACAATTGCAAAGACCAAAAAGAAAAGGTCCTATCATGTGGTCCCAACAATAACTCAACAGTCTGACAAACAGGCTCCGATGAGCTGTGTATAAATACTTTAGATTAGGGACAGTTATACTGAAAGTCGAGTTCGTCTGAAATCTTCAAAAAAATGTTCCTGTTAGTCCTCAAATGGTGCTTGTTACAGTTAACATCTCTGTTACATGCATGCGTTGAATTACTTGTTATCCAAGCGTAGCAGCTGCTCCTTACCATTTATCGTCAAGGACTTTAACTGGCCGTCTTCTTCAACTTCTACTCTTTCTTGACCGTTCTCGACAATTCTGGAGGAAAAATGCATTTTTAAGCTTTATTTCTTGCAGTAACGTATGTGTTTGTACGTATGCATTTGGAAACCAGACACACATGAAACCACAGACTCTGGGGCTGAGAACCAGCTGAAGCCACCAAGGGCCATCTTTGTGAAAACAGACCGATTCCGACAGACAACACTACACTGCTAACCATGACCTACCGTGTTTCCCCGAAAATTTAAGACCTAGCACATGGAAAGATAAGACATCCCCTGAAAATAAGACCTAGCGCAACTTTGGGAGAAAAAATTAATATAAGACACTGTCTTATTTTCGGGGAAACAGGGTACATGTGGACACAAGGAATCAAAGGTCATGGTTTCGGGGAGCAACTGAGATCTTGTTCCGGGGCGTATGTTGTCAGATTGGCGAAAAACAAACAAACAGCTTTTACTACTAATGGTGCTTTCCACTTTGTTATCCTAACAGTGCCAGCAAACCGATTACACTATTATTACAGCACTGCACATTAAAAATGGCTCTAGCCCTAGCCGGTTGGCTCAATGGATAGAGCGTCGGCTTGCGGACTGAAGGGTCCCAGGTTCGATTCCAGCCAAGGGCACATGCATGACTTGCAGGCTCAATCCCCAGTAGGGGGCGTGCAGGAAGCAGCCAATAAATGATTCTCTCTCATCATTGATGTTTCTATTTTCTATCTCTCTCTCCCTCTCCCTCTCTCTATGAGATCAATAAAGAAATATATTTAAAAATAAAAAGATTGTTTTTTTCTTTTTTTAAAAAAGGCTCTAAATGAAGAGAGCTGTTAATAGGTAACATTAAACAAAATTTAAAAGGAAATGTTAAGTTCGGATATTAAGACTCTCAGGTGCCAAATTTAACATACATTTGTGCTTCACATTCAGGGGCAAGAGGGTGGCACCCAAAAATCATTACATCTACTTATTAAAAACATGAAATAAGCAAGACAACTATACCTCTTTGTAGTGATTTTTCTTCCGTTAACAATTTTGGTAGAAGTCGATACGGACTTGAAGTTGCCCATGCCACCACCACCAAATGACGAGGAAGAGAATGCAGTGAGACCCCCATGGCCTATTGACCCGAAGGAAGTAAATCCTAAAAGAAATAAAGGGGAAAAAGATCAGAGACTAGAATGTCCGGCATTTAGTACAAAAACCCCAAGTGTCAAAATCCCCTAGCAGACCTCTCCTATAAGCAGGGTACTGATAGGGGCAATGTGTGTGTGTGTGTGTGTGTGGGGGGGGGGGGGGGCCCTGGGGGCTGGTCAGGTGTCCTCTGAATCCAGGGGCAAGACAGCAGGCTCCTTTCACCGTCCCTGCCCCCCCTCCTGCTGGGCTGGGCCTTGTTGCATTTCCCCTATTTATGGGGGATCCACTAAGCACTGAGCCTCCTGGAGAGACTAGGGTGGCCGTTCACTCTGCAGCTCACAGGAACGAAGTGGCCACTGCAGACAGAACGGCAGACCCAACCTGCTCACCTTCCCCTTGCAATGGGACCAAAAGGGACAAAAACCTGATTAGAAACAAATTCTAACATAATCACTTTAAAAGCATGGCTCTGTAGTCCATGTATGACGTTCTTAACCACATGGACATTGCAACCCAATGATGGCCACATATCACCCTGAGGCTAGCTTCCTCTTTCATTACAACACCTGCACCCCTCCATAGGACTTGACCCTCCAGCTCTATACTGTCTAAACCAGTGATGTCCCACAGAAACAGGAGGTGAGCCAAATATGTCATTTTAATTTTTTAATGGCCCCACTAAAAAATACAAGGAAAGTGGCAAAATTGACTTTAGCACTATTTTATTTAATCCAGAATATAAAAATGTTATCTTATGCGATACAGAAATGCTGAAATTGTTTGCACTGACTTAAATACTCCATCTTTGAAATCAGCGTGTGTCCCACTTGTAACACGCATCGGTGTGGATGGGCCGCACGCGAGGCTCAGCAGCTTCGCATGGCTGTGGCCACCAACCAGGACAGCACAGGTCTAGAGGTTGGCGCCACAGGCACTACTCTGGCGATGCGCACCAGCTGTCTCCCGCTCCCAGGATTTGAGCACTACCACAGCACAGTGCTGGGCACCGGGGTCTGCGGGGAAGCCTGCATGGTGCTGTGGGAGAGCTCCCCAATCAGAGGAGCCTCTCCCAGCAGCAGGACCCTTGCAGGAGGCACCTTGTGAGCGGTACCAGGCAGCCAGCCTGTGTGACCAAGCGCTGCAGGCTGTTACCAGAGCATTTAAGACAAAAACAAGATCCCAAGACAGCAGGAACTAGGTGAGAGTCCAGGGAAAACAATCTGTTGGCCGCCACCCCACCCCTCGAGCTGCTGACCTGCTTTACCGAGCGCTAACGCCAACACTGTCATTTGGCGGGGCACCCACAGCAACCATGGGAGTTATTACGGCCCGCCTCGGCCTCCATCCGTGGACCAGGGCCTCCTGTACTGCACTGCCCAGGTTAGGTAAAGCGAGGACTCAGTAAAACTAGTGGGTTATTTCACCATTACCCCAAACACAGTACTCCCTTGACCAGGAACTTCACTCTTTACTGGTCAGAGTAGAGATGGACTTTCAGGTGTGACGTTCTTGGGTCAGGAGGCAGAGATTTCCACGAGTAAAAACGACTAGGGAATCTACAAGACTGTTCTATCAAAAGGAACACACGTTTCAAACCATGTACCAGTTACCAAAGGTGAAATCTTGGGATTTGATACCTGCATCAAAAGCTGGAAACCCTCCACCGAAAGCCGGGAACCCCGTGAAGGCGGAGAAGAACGAGGTGGTTCCCCGGTTCCTGCTCCCACGCGGACCCCGCCGGGTTCCAAAGAAGTCGTCAAATGGGTCTTCTGGAAACAAACACATGCATTTTGTAAAATTCTGTTTTCTGTCCGTGTTCCATGGGAAAGCTGTAATAAGGGGACAGAAAGCCTTGGAAAAGGCACAGCCACAGCTCACCCGGAGCTCCTGTAAGGCAAGCAGAGCCAGAGGCAGCGGAGACAGACCAGCCTGGCTGCCACGCAGCCTCTGTGAAAGGTCTTCACTCAGGTCCTTAGGAACTCAAACTCCAAAAGGTCGGGGTTGTCTCCGTTATTCAGAAATAAGAACAAATATGGGCTATTAAGCATTCATTTTAACATAAAGGGAGAAGGGGTAATTCTGGGCCTCGGATGTAAGAACTCCTTCTAAATTTTCTGTGAACTTGACACCTCAAAAATATTTTTTAAAGGGTCAAGACAAATCTAAATAAACGTGAATCTAAATAAATGTGAATTGCAGACATGACATTTGTGCTCCAGGAAACTACCAGACAAATAGGCATCGTCTTGCTAGTGGAGATATCACAATGCTCCTGAAAAAAGGCCAACCACGTGAGTCTAACTCTCTATCAATGAGTTGCTAAAAAACAAATAATAAAAACCTTCTAAAAAATTTTGCTGAAATTCTATGAAATTAATCAGCAATGTATTTTTTTCAGGTAAGTGGGAATTCTGTGAGAAACAAGAAGAAAATGAGCGGATGACATCAGGAATCCTACAAAAGCTTGCAGGGAAAGAGAAAAGCAACCCGTTCAGAGTCTACAGAAGTAGTCCGGCCACCTGGAACATGGCAGCGGTGACCAAAGTGGGGAAGTGACAGGAAATACTGACACCCCTCCCCCCACCAGCATGAGCCCTGGGGCGGCACTGTCCTGCACACTGTCTTGTCCTGAAATGGCTCGTTGGTCACTACTGGAAAGATTGTTGCCTTTAGATTAAACTAAATCCTCATATGCTGTCTGCCCATGGGACATACTCCAGCTAAACCAAGCATGTCAAACTCAAAGGCTAACACGGGCCAAATAAACAAGGTTTAAGTTTATGTGGGCCGCAAAAAAAACCAAAAGCTTCAATTTTCATAGAAGTGTTGGCTTATTTCGATAGACATGTGCTGAATACAAAAGGCTGAAATAAATGAGTAATTGTTAACAAAATAGAACATTTTAACAAAAATTAGTATTTTTTCTTAAACATTAACTTACCAGACATTGAATAACTACACAAATTAATAAACGTAAAGCAAATAAACCTGTTTTTTCTTGTTCTCCAAAAGTGAGGTATTTCTTGATGCGCACACCAAACAAGTCGGTCCAAGACTAATGATGTGGCAACCGATCAGCTGCTAAAATACTCACAGCTGGTATTAGTGGAGAGAAATGGGGCGCCTGTGCGTAAGGCATGTAAGGGAAATGAATGCAACATGAGTATAGTAATTAGTATTAGCGAATGCTGTATTTTGTTATTAATAATTATGTAAAACAGGGTATTGTAAAAGTTATGTTACAAGATTTTTTATTAAAACATTTCTTACAGCCAAAACTGGTGTGGCTCAGTGGATAGAGCATCAGTCTGCGGACTGAAAGGTCCCAGATTAAATTCCGGTCAAGGGCATGTACCTTGGTTGTGGGCACATCCCCGGTGGGGGATGTGTAGGAGGAAGCTGGTCAATGTTTCTCTCATCGATTTTTCTAACTCTCTATACCCCTCTCCCCTCTGTGAAAAAAATCAATAAAATATATTATTTAAAAAAATTTTCTTATATACTGTTATATTGGCTGGGCCGCAAAAAATTCATTCTGGGATATGAGTTTGACATGCTTGAGTTAAATAAAGACTTCGGTCATTATAAAATCACATTATTGAGAAACTACTTCAAAAGTTGGGTTACACACAACCACTTCAAAACTACAACTAAAAGACAAAACAGACATGATCCAGAACCACAGGAAGGCTGGCCAAGTGGAAATTAGAAGGGAAGAGAAAAGCACACCAAGACTCAGAGGAGCTGCGGAAGTAAAGTGCAGAGGTACGGAGACGGAAAAGCTGGCAACTGAGTATGCTGTTGTCTTTCTCAATCAGGAGGGAAACACAAGCTCCTGACTCCTCTAAATTCCAGTTCCCAGGGAGACTCTGGGGACCCAGACTTACACGGAGAGAAAATGGACAATCTGCCTTCGGGTGGAACTTGAGGTCAGCTTTCTCTTAGAGGTATACTGTGGGACACTGAGACCCAGGGGCCTCTTAAGGCAGGGCTGAGGATCACCCATTGCTGTTTGCTCTGCCCTGTTGATTCCCTGAGACCCGGCCCCACCCAAGCTGTAGGAAGGCTTTTGCATATGAATGGCTTGTAATCTAAAACTACCTAACAAATTGCAGCTGGGTCAAAGAGCCCCAGAGCTTCCAAAAGGAGGTCCAAGGCCCAGCAACCTGCATTGCCTCACAACTGGCCTCATCTGGGCACCTCCAAAACCCAAACAAAGAGGAGGAATCTGCAGATCTCTCCATAGCTCCTACTGGGTGGCCTCAGGCAGAGGATAAATTAGCACCTCCTTGGAGATCCAAGGGGCAGTGTACCCAGTGGTCACAGTGGGACCATCCAGATTACAACTCCTCAGATCCATAAGTGACACACTCAGGGGGCAGACTCAGTGAGCACCAAAGCCCCACTAAAGCAAGTCTTACCCCTTAAGATTGTCTCCAGCACAGAAGTTCTCCCATCGTTGACACAGCTGATTCTCACAGCCAATTTGCCTAGAAGCCAATTCCTCCCAGTGATACCAACAACAATCAAGGCTTAACTATTGTACAACAAGACTGTGCACAAGCCCACAAAGAGGTGCACCAAGAATGTCCACCTCAGGTAACTGGGGAGGCTGAGCCACTGGGCCCTATAGGACACTTAGCATACAAAGCCACTCTATCAATACAAGGAAGCAGCCAAAATGTGGAGACAAAGAAACATCACAAATGAAAGAAATGGAGGAAAGCAAACTACTGGATATAAAGTTCAAAACCACGGTTATAAGGTTCTTCAAGAATCTTCTAGAAATCGATAAATTTAGTGAGAACCTTGAATATATGAAAAAGGACCCACTAGAAATTAAGAGTACGCCGACTGAAATAAAGAATAATATACAGAGACCCACCAGCAGATCGCAGGAATCAATTCAAAGATTTGAAATACAAATAAGCAAAAAACAACCCTCTGGAAAAGCAAAAAGAAAAAAGAATTAAAAAATATGAAGATAGCCTAAGGAACCTCTGGGGACAGCTTCAAGCGTACCAACATCCAAATTATGGGGGTTCCAGAAGAGGGAGAGCAAGATATTGAAAACCTATTTGAAGAAATAGCCGAAACCGGTTTGGCTCAGTGGATAACGCGTCAGTCTGCGGACTGAAAGGTCCCAGATTCGATTCCAGTCAAAAGGCATGTACCTTGATTGTGGGCACATCCCCAGTAGGGGGTGTGCAAGAGGCAGCAGATAAATGATTCTCTCTCATCGATGTTTCTATCCCTCTCTCTTCCTTTCTGTAAAAAGTCAATAAACCCCCCCCACACACACACACACACATATATATATATGAAGAAATAATGACAGAAAACTTCCCCCACCTGCTGAAAGAATTAGACTTATAAGAAAAGGAAGCACACAAAACCCAAAACAAGAGGAATCCAAAGAGGGCCACACCAAGACACATCCTGATTAAAATGCCAAGAGCAGCTGAAACTGGTTTAGCTCAGTAGATATCAGCCTGCGGACTGAAGGGTCCCAGGTTCAGTTCTAGTCAAGGGCATGTACCTTGATTGCAGGCACATCCCCAGTGGGGGGGAGGCTGCGGAGGCAGCTGATCGATGTTTCTCTCTCACTGATGTTTCTAACTATTCCTCTCTCTTCCTCTCTGTAAAAAAACAACAACAACAATATATTTTTAAAAATAAATGCCAAGAGCAAAAGACAAAGAGAATATTAAAGGCAGCAAGAGAAAAAGTTACCTACAGGGGAGTACCCATAGGATTGTCAGCTGATTTCTCAACAGAACTATGCAGGCCAGAACTGAGTGGCAAGAAATATTCAAAGTGATAAATAGCAAGAACCTACAACCAAGATTGCTCTACCCACCAGAACTACCATTCAGAATTGAAGGGCAGATAAAGAGCTTCTCAGATTAAAAAAAAAAAAAGCTAAAGGAGTTCATCACCACCAAACCAGTATTATATGAAATGCTGAAAGGTATTCTTTAAAAAGAGGAAGAAGAAAATGGTAAAGATAAAAATTACGAACAACAATTACATATCTATCAACAAGTGAATCTAAAAATCAAGTGAGTAAAAAATCTGATGAACAGAATAAACTGGTGAATATAATAGAATCAGGGGCATAGAAAGGGAGTGGAATGGAAATTCTTGGGGGGGAAGGGGTGTGGGTGGGGAGTGCAGAAAGAGACTGGACAAAAATTGTACATCTATGGATGAGAACAGTGTAGGGAAAGAGTAACGGCAGAGGGTGGGAACTGGGTAGAGGGGAACTATTGGGGGGGGAGGGGGAAACAACTGTCATAATCTGAAGATTTTCAGTGACATTTTCTTGTGCAGGACTCAGGGGATCCATGTTTCTCTCTCATCACTGATGTTTCTCTCACCCTTCCTCTCCCTCTCTAAAATCATTAAAAACACACACACAAACACAAAGCTCATCTCAAACACAGAGATGATTTACTGCACTAAGAGTTCAAAACATTATTTATAATGTATCGGGTCTAGTAATAATTAATGTCGTTTTTAACATTCGTTTAAAGTCTTGCTTGGCGTTGACTTGTATTGACATAACCTTCAAACACGTGGTATCTACAGAACGTGTGAAGTGCAATTAACAAGTCTTGCTTGAAAAAGTTTGTGTTTGGTTTGGTTTTTGTTGCAAAACGAGGGCTAAGAAGCTGGCAGGTGAAGAGCATATTCGGCACTGCATGCTTTACGAGTTCCAATTAGGAAGAAAAGCAAGTGAGGCTGCAAAAAACATCTGTAGTGCTCT